GCTGAGGCAATTTCTGATCATTTCACAGTACTCAAAAATCTGCTAGACCCTGTACTTCTGTGGGACACCTTGAAGCATGAAACCCTTGATGCAGCTCAAGAATCAATTAGTGAACACCCAAGAGCAAGACAGAATTTTATCTCACAGGAGACACTGAAAGCTACAGCTTATCGTGTGGCTCATCTGACAGGGGATAAGGATATGCACAGTTCTCAGGTGTGCAAAACTCGGTCACTTTTGAGAAGGGACAGGGAACAGTTTATTTGGAATATTATAGAGGAGGTTGAAGGCCATTCCTTAGTAAATAACCTTCATCCTACCTACCAAGCCCTGAGAAATCTGAACTCCAAGCCTTCTTTACTAGAAACTGCAGTAAATGGCCAGATCATCTCAGATCTGAGTATTTTGAGCAGTTGTACCAGGGTGATCCACTAACAGTTAACTTGGATGCGGGTAGTACCAAGGTTCCATTGTCAGATCCACCCGTCAGTGAGGATCCAACTAAAGTTTGGGAGGCAATCTTTAAGCTGAAGAGTGGTAAAGCAGAGGGTATCAGCAGCATTCCAGGTGAACTGTTAAAGGCTGGGGGTGAATCTATGGTGTATGGGTTGCATGCTGTCCAGACTGCCATATGGCTGCCCGGTACCGTTCCCCCTGACCTGCTCAGTATACCAGGCAAGTTTCTCGACCACATCCTTTTAAGTTATATCAGAGACCACTTGCTGAGGCACCAGACACCGGAGCAATCTGGATTCACTCCTGGTAAGTCCACAACAGACCTATCCATTCGCTTCAAGTCATTGTAGAACGGCGCTGTTAGTTTGAGCGTGGGCTGCTTGTAGCCTACATCAGTCTCAAGAAGGTGTTTGATACGGTGCATCAGGAGTCTTTCTAGGAGATCCTGAGACTGGGAGGAATTGCAACAAGGATTATTGGACCAATAAAGCTGCATACTGGTACTGAAAGTGCTGTAAAGTGTGGTGGTGGCTTGTCGAGCTTCTTCCTGTTTGTTAGTTCAGGTGTAAGGCAAGGCAGGAACTGGATATTGGGCACAGCTACTGTCCATAGCCATTGTGGAGCAACTCTGGGCCATATGAAGGTTACTGACCTTGACTTTGCTGACGATGTTGCTATTCTATCTGAGTCTTTGAAAATCTTTGTGGTACCTCTGGATGCATTTAGTAATGAAGCAAAGCCCTTGGGTCTAGAAGACCAAGATCTAAGACTTTGAGGACTTGCTAGGAGAACCTGTTCAGTCAGTACGTGCTTGTGGCGAGGACATTGAAGTCACTGAGAGCTTTTCATACCTTGGTAGTATAGGTCATAACTCAGGGCTGTCAGGACAAAGCTACACATTTTCAAGGCCCTGATAATGCCAGTTTTACGATTTAAGCTGTCGTGAGGAGCTCAAGATGGGCTGAGTCCCTGCTTAGCAGCTTGCCATGAGGGATCCTCACAGGTGGAAGCAAAGGATGGATGCGGCTATGTGCCCTTATCAGTATTAGCTCACTGATGATGATGATGATAATGATAAAAAAGTATGCCTTTCCTATTTGTCGTGATTGTGGCAGGCCTGGCAAAAACTAGCTGGAATTTTTCCTACAACTTATGAATGAATGAGATTTATGAAGTGTCTTCTAATATATCTTGTGTTATTTGGCAACTTTCCTTTAGCCACACCCATAATTTCAACCCCAAATCCTCACTTCCAGTCAACAACCTCTTATGCCAGAACCAATGGTATAGTCATGTTTACCTGCCTCTATATCTTGTGAATGAAATGTAGTGAATATGAAATACTCATGGTGCTGTATAGTATAGATCTTCCTGACTAACCCAGATCTGTTGAATCACTCAAAGTGTGTGTGTATGTAGCAGTGGATTTTGTATTTACCATATTTATTCATTCTGCTTTCTTTTAATTTGTTCTCAACAGAATGTGATACCTGTGGCTTTTCTGATCTTGGCTTTGATTGTGGTTCAGACACTCCCAGGCGTGAATGATGCACCTCCTCCATTTATTTTTGGACTTGAGGTGAGATGTATAGTTATAGCCACTAGTGATTCTAAATAGAATTATTATTTTGTATTATCCCTAGAGACATAATTTGGGTAAGAATATGGGACATGTGCTATTTTCTTATTGTGCATAATGATTAGGTCATGGAAGTGCAAATGATTTTTTAATGTGTTTGTTTATAACTTACAACGACTTTGAAGATATTAGATAAGATGTTACATGAATTTCACCTATCAAAGCCAGTAATACATATATGTGTATATATGTACTGTGATTTTGTGATATTAATTTTGGTTCGACATAGGTGGCTCCACAAGCATTTTTTCACTAAGGTTTCACTTGGTGTAATTGAACTCGCTGGTTTACCTCATGTCCTTGAATTTTCAAGATCTATTTATTTTTATTATTATTGATGTTCTTAATAGAGTTATGATAACAACAATGATAATGATATAATGATAAGGAAAATTATAATAATGATGATAATGATAATTATATTGATGATAATATTAGAAAATAGAAATGGAAACTTTTCCTGAAAATTTGTTATATAGCAAGCAGGTGAAATCAGGTAGGCCTTGTAATTGACTTTAGCTGAATAACTAAGCCCTTTTGGAGCATTTTGAGTATATACAAAATTAGTAGAATAAAAGATTGGACATTGTATGTACCCATGGTCAGTGGATTTAAAATGTTTATTGAGCTAAGACACAATTTTAGATAAGAACATAAATAAGCTGTGGGATCTTTGCATGAGGTGGCTAGCTGTCTAAGACCAGAGATCATGTGGGTAAAGATACCTTTGATGTAAGATACACTTACATCAAATTAAGGAAGTAGTTAAAGCTTATGGATATAGTTTCTTAATTCATGAAGTAGTTCATGTATATTTAAAGTCTGCAAAATGAAAAAATTATTTCACACAAAATATGACTTGACTAGGAGATATAGTATCTACTTCCCTTTCTTTCTCATAATTACTTTGGCATAGTAGATTTCAATTTCCTGGACAGGCTTTAATCATATGGTAGACTAAAGCAGTAGTTCTCGGCTCTTACTCTAGCCAGTGATGATGGGTCAATCCCAAAAATCATGATTTTACTAAACTAGTTAACACAAACAAAATTCATTGTGACAAATGTAGAAAATAGTGGGAATGAAATTAGATGTATTCACAGTGCAAAACATGTTTTGATGCATTTCAAGTTGAGAATTATAACACATTTTTTCATTTCCAATGGAGATTATCAAAATGTGTCAAATACATTTCTTGCTTAGTGAACCTATTCTTGTGTATATCCTTTTCGTGTGAAAACATACTTTGACTTGCATATACTCCAGTGGGTAATATTATTTTATGCAATCATGTTTTTTTTATTTTATATTTTGAGAACTGACAAAGAATCCAAAGGGATCCTTTTCAATCACCAGCAGTAGTTTCCAAGCCACTTTGTGGAGGGTATATTTCCTCTTTACTCTTCTATACAGTAGCATATTCAATTTTTTTCCTTCGACTTATTTTGTGACTAATTACCATAATGAGGTTGTTTTTTTACAGAATTTTGAAGGAACGGAAACACTGGTCCAGGTTCAGAACCCTAATAATGAAACAAAAAATCTAGAGGACTCACTCAAGGAGCATTTTGAAAGTCCCAATTTTATAGAAATGGTAGATGTGGGACAAAACTTTACCACAGTCATATTGCAAAAGGTCAGTCTTTTTGGAAGTACAGTTTCTTTGTATATATGTTAGTCTTTTTACAAAACTATATCCATTTTTTATCTGTCTATATTACTCTCTCTCTCTCTCTATCTCTCTCTCCTCTCTCTCCTCTCCTTCTCTCTCCCTCTCATCCTCTCTCCTCTCTCTCTCTCTCTCTCTCGTTCTCTCCCCCTCCCCCTCCCCTCTCCCTGCCTCCTTTCTCCCTCCCTGCCCTCTCCCTCTCCCCCTTCTACCCCCCTCCTCCCTTTCTCCCTCCCTCCTCCCTCCTCTTCCCTCATCCCTCCCTCCTCCCTCCCTCCCCTCCCTCCCCTCCCTCTCCCTCCCTTCCCTCCCCTTCCTCCTCTCCGCTCCACCCCCCTCGTCTCTCTCTCTCTCTCTTCTCCCTCCCACTCCCCCTCTCTCTCTCTCCCCTCCCCTCCCTCTCCCCTTTCCCTCTCCGCCCCCTCCCTCTCCCTTTCCCTCCCCTCCCTCCCCTCCCCTCCCATCTCCCTTTCCTCTCCCTCTCCCATCATCCCTCTCCCTTCTACTTTCCTTCTCCGTCTCTCCCTCCCCTCTCCCCGATCCCTCCTCCCCTCTTTCCCTTTCCCTTTCCCCTTTCCTTTCCCTTCCCTTCTCCCTTCCCGTTCCTCGTCCCTCCCTCTCCTCTCTTCTCTCTCTCTCCTCTCTCTCTCATCTCTCTCTCTCTCTTCTCTCTGCTCTTCTCTCTCTCCTCTCTCTCTCTCTCTCTCTCTCTCTTCTCTTCTCTCTCTCCCTTTCCCCCTCTCCCTCTCCCTCTCCCTCTACTCCTCTCTCCCTTCTGTCTCTCTCCCTCTCTCTCTCTCTCTCTCTCCTCTCTCCTCTCTGTCTCCCCTCTCTCTCTCTCTCTGTCTCCTCTCTCTCTCTCTCTCTCTCTCTCTCTCTCTCTCTCCTCTCTCCTCCTCTCTCTCCTCTCTCTCTCTCTCTCTGTCCTCTCTCTCTTCTCTCTCTCTCCTCCCTCGTCCCTCCCTCCCTCCCTCCCTCCTCCCCCTCCATTCCCTTTCTCTCTCCTCTCTCCTCTCTCTCTCTCCTCTCTCTCTCTCTCCTCACTCTCTCTCTCTCTCTCTCTCCTCTCTCCTTCTCCTCTCTCTCCTCTTCTCTCTCACTCTCTCTCTCTCTCTCTCTCTCTCTCTCTCTGACATGCACTCTCTCTCTCTCTCCTCCTCCTCTCGGACTTCTCTCTCCTCTCTCTCCCTCTCTCACCTCTCTCCCTCTCTCCCTTTCCCCCTCTCTCCCTCATCC